CGCGCCCCGAGCTCCCCCAGCGGGCCGCAGGAGCGCGGCGGTTTGCTCGTCGGTGACCCGTTTCTTTAACGCACGTGGAGCACGAGCGAGAACCTGGGGAACCCCGCAAACGCACTTCTGCCGACGGCGCAGCAGCCCCCGGTTACCCCGCGAGCGCGCCTCCCGCACCTGGACCCGGTCGCGCAGTTCTGGTTTGAAAGTTGAGACACTTAAAAAGCCGTTGGCCCAGTTTCGAGGAACAGTGGCCAGAGGCCCGCCCCGCCCTGGACTTTTTCGTGCGAACTTTCGGCCTGGCTGGATTGGGGTCCACGCGAGCGGGGCGAGGAGGGGCGCCATGCACCGCACGCCCGCCCACCCTTCCGTGAAGCCAACAGCCGTGGCAATTGCCATCTGGAGAGCTTCATGCTGCCCTGGCCAGTTGGCCCGGTGTGACTCTAACAAGGCGAGCGTCACAGACACCGTCAGAGCAGCCCCATCCAACCATCGAGGCAGCAGGAAGCTCTGTTTTTTGCTAAAAATTTAAAAAATAATCAAGACATTTTAATGGTGGCCATTTAGCAACTTTAAACAAGGCGCCGCTTCTCTTACAGGGGTAAAGACAGGCGTCTGGCAGAAGGTAGAGATATGGGCCAGGGTGACGAGGAGACAACTCGTGACCGGAACTGACCCCCCTCTGCGGTCTCCCCAGTCATGTAGGCCATCACGACTGCACAGCGCGACGTCCAACGTGTGCCCGCTGTACATCGGTTTGCCTAGGCTGTCACCAAGAGCGCTGCGGCTCGCTTTTGCATAAGTCACCGCGTCGTCGGCCTAGGGGGTTGTGCGATAAGCGGAAGGTTGTTTTCAAAACGTTGATCATAGTAAGCGCAGCCGTCCTGACTACAGTGCAGTCCTCCGTTTCTGCACTGGTCTGCAGGGGAGTTGAGGACTCACCCGAGTTGACAGCGTCCCTTACTAATCACAATTGTAATCTGAGTTATAACTAAAAGTGGTCATTCCTTAGAAGAAAGTTTTGACTTTTGGAGTGTGATTGAAATTCCAAGTGTGTGCAGATGCCGGATGGCGTAAGAACCAGGTGGGGCGCTGGGCCAATGGAAACGCAGCCCGCGAATGATCCGCTCAGAAGGAGAATGGCTCAAAGTCTTCATTTCCTGCACTTCGTCAGCGTGGTCTTTCTGTCATGCACAACAGCTCTGCGTTTGGAAGAGCCCGACATCCCCGCCCATACAATCTCTTGTGCATAATTTTATGCTGTTGTGTAGATGTTTAGAAAAAATATTACCTTATAAATACTTTATACACAACTATCTATGGGTACCGTATATCCCATATATTATGGATACATTACACATTATACGTAGGCATCTCATTAGGAATAACTTACACCCTATGTACCTGTCTCCTGCTCATGAGTATTTCGAGAAGAGGATAAAAATGCATTGAGTAAAATTCCCATTTTCCCAAGCGCTCGACCCACCTTGCCCGCTGGACTCTCCTGGTTTACGTGCCGCAGAGGGAAGGTGATTGACGTCTTGCAGGAGACACGCCTTCACTCTCTGCCCCGCCTACTCTCTTCGGGACCCCAACCGCCACCAGTGGCGAGGCCGGTGCATCACCCTTCCAGAACATTCCCTGAGACACACGCTGCCCGGCAGTTACGCACCACACTCTGTAGACCCGGATTTCCCGAACCCGAGGGAGTTCTAAACTTTTGTTTTCTTTTGTTTTTTGATGATAATCTAAAATAATTTTAAGACAAATACTTCCTTTTTCAAAGATATTTCTGTGTTTCAATGATGAGTAGCAGGTTGGGTCTTCGAGCTCCTGGGGAAAACAAGACCATCACCTCTGCAGGACGGAGGGAGCCAGGGCTTCTTTATGCCCCGTCGGCACTTTCTAAGAAACTTTCGGAAGCTGGAGCCAGGGGGTAAAAACAGACATGGCGGAGCCGGGAGTGAAAGCAGGAAACCCCACGCTCGAAGCCAGCCCGCCACCCCACAGCCCCAGGCCGCGGAGGAACCGGGCCACGTAGAAGGCGATGGCTCATCAGGATGCGCTGCTTTTAATCCAGGAGGTAGAACGGGTTTTTAAATAAGTATGCGAAACATAAAGAAATTTTAAATGATAATTTTTTAAAAAAAATTTTCAAGCAAAAGAAATGAAAATAGAAACACATAGATAAGAAAATAAGCAGAACCCAGGAGAAGGGGGGTCTTAGCCATTGAAAAAAGGGCTCGGACTCACTCGTCAGAATGCAAAAGGAAACTTCTGAGACACCATTTCAAAAAATCTGCTTGATTGGCAAAGATAGGTTCGCTAAGACGCCGTGGTGGGGACCAGGAGCAAAGCCGTGTAGGTTCCTGGTGGGAAGTTAAACCGGACGGAGGTCTCCGCAGAGGGCAAAGGGCTGCGAGAAAAGGGACCACGCCCCTGGCGCCCACTGCCCACCCCCTCGTCCACGCGCTCGGCACGGCCACGGCCCCGTGGGTGCCCACGTGGCCCGAGCAGGAGCAGGCGCTGGGCGCCGTCGGTCCTGCCAGACTCCCAGGCCGCCTGGGCGTCCCCCCGCCCGGAGCGGGACGGGGTGAGGGGCCGTGCGGCAGAGCGCCGACCCGCGGCCGCCGTGAGCACGTGTCAGCACAGACGACGCGAGGACACAGCTGTGTCTTCTGAGCTCACAGCGCCGACAGACAGAGAGCCCACTACGCATGGGTACAGCTGGCGGTGAAGTGTCTAAGTCACGCGGAGTCTGTGCTCATTCTCAGATGGCGGCTCTCGGTGGGAAAGAAAGGAGAGGGGTGAGTTCGGGGAATATTGTGAAGTCGTCCATCGTATTCGTGGCATTTTATTGTTGAAAACTCCTGCAGCAAACCCAGAGAAAGGCTGGCCCGGTCCGGCAGAGCAGTGCAGGGACCCGCGCGCCACACGGCCGGGACGCCGGGGCGGCCAGGCTCTGCCCACGCAGTTGGGTGGCGAGGTGGCCCATTATGACACGTCGCAGAAGCTGATGCAACAGAGGACCGGGGCGCGTCAGGCTTCGCCCCCTCAGTTCCCAGGAGAAACTCCCGCGAAGCAAGAAGACAGGGAACCCCGCCCAAGCCAGCCCGCGGGGCAGCGTCACGTGTCCCACGAGACAGGAAAACGAGTGGCCTTCTCCGTCCCCCGCCGGCAGCCTGTCACTGGGGGTCATGAGTGGAGGGCCAAAGCCGTCTCGAGGCGCCCGCGCTTTCAGGGGTGCTCCGGAAGAAGCCAGCAGCAGCGCTGGTGTCCACGCTCTGCTGCTGGGGAGCGAGGACCCGGACCCCAGCGGGTGCGTAACTGCGGCAGGAGTCCGTACGGTCCCATGTCCCACCGGCCGCGGCGTGTCGTAGGCGCCCTGCGTCCCACCGGCCGCGGCGTAGGGGCCCTGTGCGTTTGGAGAAACGCCCAGCAAGAACTGCCCCCTTCTCAGAGAAAAGAATTCCCAGGGCTCTGCTCTGCAGCTGCCCCGAGCACGCAGCTTTCTGGGGCAGGGTCTTCTTCCTGTGCCAGGGAGCTCGGATTAGTCACTGCGCCCGGGGCCGGGGCTCTGAAGGGTTCGGCCGGCGACAGTGAGCCCTGGGCTCTGGGTCGCGTGCTTGGCGGTGGTGCGGGGGCCCAGACC